GCAGGAAGCCAAATGCAGAGTCTACAAGCCTCGGAAATTCTCCAATCTCATGTCAAACGCGAGATCCAAGCCAAGATTACCGAGATGCAGGCTGAGATGGAAGAGAGCATTTCTGAACGGATAGACGAAAAGGGAAGTCTCTGGATGCAGACTGTGAGAGACACGTGCATCTCAGAAATCCATCACAGCATTCGAACCAAGACTATCACAATTGAACAGGCTGTAGCCAATCTCTCAGCTGTTCAGAGTTCGCAAGGCGGCAGGCTTGTGACCATTGAGGACTATCTGCCCCGTTTGCAAACTGGCCTTGACGATGAAAGAAATCAAACCGCTTCCTTGGCTTCAAATTGCGACAAGCTACAACACGATCAACACTATTTGCATGGCGAAGTACAAAAGCTTGTAGTCAAAATAGGCGATCTCCAGGCCGAATTCTCGCGTCATGCGAGACAGGTGGAACATAATCAGCACCAAATGGAGATCACACTAACGCAGAAAGTCTCCCAAGCTGTTCTGCAGGATGTTACGCGCATGGTGGACTCCCTTCGCAACAAGACAGAATCAGATGCGATAACGCGACAAAAGTATGTAGACAAAGTCCAAGACCAAACGAACCAGGCGATGGCACAAATTCATCAAGCAGACCTCGATAGGCATAGGGCCATGCAATTGAAGGCAACAAAAGTCCGAGCAAGACATGACGCTGAGATACTATATCTGAAGCTCATGGCCGAAGGAAAGGCAAAGGACGTAATGCAGAGACTAGACAATATCGAAAACACAAACAACTCCCTCAAGGCAGAGCTAGAAGGACAGTCAGAAAAGGTGGACCTAGTCGCCAACGAGCTGAACGAACGCATAGAGAGGGCAAATGAGTCCACTAAAGTAGATCTCCGAACCGAATTCGGCAGCAGCCAAGAGAAATACCACATGCAGATCACCGACGGATCTGCGGTAACCATACAAGCAATAGAGGATCGGCTCAGGTGCCTCGAACACGCGAAAGGTGCTACGGAAAGTGATCTAGAGGAGAGAATCGCGAAAGAGCTGCAATCCTTCAAGCTAGAGACGGCACAAAAGATGGGACACATGGAGAATATGTACCACGAAAAGGTCACGACATTAGCCAAAGAGACAGGAAGACAGCTGGAGGGGCTTCAACCATTGGTGCCCACAACCGAAGAACTATCTGGAAAGGTCCATGCGTTACAGAAGACTACCGAAGAGCAAGCACAAGAACTAGAACTTATCAAAGCTCAGTCGCAAGCCTGTATACTGCAAGCAGGCGAGATCGAGGGGCTCAGAGCCGACGGGAGGATCTTGGAAGAAAGACTTATGGCGCCACTGGCAAAAGCCGAGAAAGCAGAACACTTGACCCAAGAGACTTTCCTGAATCATTCAAACAGAATCCGGCGGCTGGAGACAACACTCAACAACGAGTTACAGAACTTCAGCGCAAAGAGATCGAACCCAGAGACCCTGTTAGAAACCCGAGATGCGGGAAGTACCGAAAACGCCTTACTTCTCCAAGTGACAAGAAAACCACCGGACGACGTTCCGGAAGCGGTTCGGATGCAATTGGATCAGACTCAGAAGGACATACAACTTTTGCGAGAGAACTTTAATGGAAGACATAATGAAATGACCCATTCATTGGAAAGCTTCAAGCATCAGACCAGCGTGCAGTGGATAAGTGCAGAAAAACGTCTGACCGATCTCGCGACTGGAATGTCGGCCGTCAAGCGGGATCTACACAGCAAAGCAGCCGCGATTGACCCAATCCTGAGACACTTACAGGACGATGTTAGAAAGAATGGGGACACTTCAGAGACGTTACGAGCATGGATCGCTTCCCAGGCTTCCGGGTGGGACGAGCTCCGAGACCAGTCAGAACAGCGTGCGCTGCTTGACGCACAGATGGAGAAGCTAGCGAGACAAGTTGATGAGTTGGAACGCAAACTGGAGAGTCAACAACATCAGAACGAAAGCTTGCGAGACCAGATGCAAGATCCAAATCGATTGGCCCTAATCTCTTGTGATCTAGATCAAGTCAAGCAGGAAGTCCAAGGGGTTGAGAGCCATTGGCAGGACGAGATCAACACAAGACTGAGTGCTGTTGAAGGCAATGTGGAAACGCTCAAGCGTGGTACCGAAGCGGCTCGCGACAGAACGGAAAGCCTCAGCCAAGATCTCAACCATGTGAAACTTGATGTAGAGCGCAGCTTCGGAAGCCAAACAAGCGCTCTGGAGGCCCTTTCGAGACAAACACACGATCGCATGCAACAGCTCAAAATTGAAATGGCACATTCTACATCGGCAGTAGACGAGCTCCAAGTTCGGTGCCGAGATCTGGAAAGTTCGATCAAGGGAATGGTAGACAAAGTCTTGACATACTCGAGTCTTCCGATCAGCTCTCTGCACCTTGGGAGGAAAAGGAATGCGGAAGGTTGCCAGCTGGAGCAAGAAAAGAGCGATCCAGGCATCCAAGCAGAGTGTCTAAACCCGAGAGTAGAGGTCCGCACTCACCACAAAGGACAACCAGAAGGCCGCAGCCAGAGTTCGAATATTCCGAGAGATTCAAGTGTAAATGCTTCTTCTTCACGAGATCGACAGCCCACAACCAAAGCAGGAGCAACGGACACAATCCTTGGTTCGGAAGCATGCCCAAGTTCAAGTGCGAGAGAACAGGCAAATAGTACAGGAGCCCCGCAAAATAGGAACCCCAAGCCAGTGGGAGTGCGAGTAGGAGAGAAGACAACGTCACCTAAGAGTGACAGGGCAGCTATTGAAACAAACCCAGAGCGACAAGCGGAATCGTGGACAATCAAAAATGAGATCTCAGATACGGCAAGCAAGTCTGCAAATGCTAGGAAAAGGCCAAGTGATCGCCCACCATTTGACGGTGCAACCTACGTTCCACACAAGGAGGATGAAATCCTCAAACAGAAACACTGCCAGAGCCAGCCGGTTTTGGAGAAATGGGCCATCCAGAAACTCGAAGAAAAAGACGTCGAGATTACATGCGTCATCAGCTATTACGAGAAGCAGCGATCGAAGCACCTACGACAATGCCAGGCTTACTTTGACGAAACGAAAGCCAAGATCCAGCGACTCAAAGACCAAGTCAGGCAAATGAGTGGGGATTTGCAGCATGCAACTCGAAAGATCCAGGACAGGGACGACCACATTGCGTCCATGTCCAAGGCCAGTGGCGACTTTTCCTTGAACAGAGAGAAGACTCAGGATGAAAGCAGCCGAACCGAAATGGATTCTACACAGCCTTCGCACAGGAAGCAGACCAGGACAAAGCCGCCGAATGATGAAGCGTATGCTGAAGCGGGCATCGTAGAGGCTGATCCTTACGTGGAGGAAAACAGTCATGCCGCGACTGCGATCGAAGTACTGCCTGGAACAAGGGTGGTCAAGCACAAGCAGACATCGCAAACAAGCTTTTCACGGACCAGACCCAAGAGGTCGAAGCGCGAAAACGAGCCTAGAGGGACTTCGCGTTCTGTGCCAGCGGGAAAATACACCGAGGACCCTCTGGAGACCATCCCAAGCCTTGATGACAACGTCGATTATCTCCAACCAGGGTTTGACGCCAACTCCATCACTGTGAAAGAGTTGAAGAAAATATTCGTTACGCACGGAATCAAGTTTGATCATAGCTCAAAGAAAGAAAATCTCGTGGCTCTATTCCAGAGAAAAATCGAACCCCGAGCTAGTGCTACGTTGAAGAAACGGGCGAACATCAAACGCTCGGCAGCGGGCATCGTTGATGTTAGATAGGTCCAGGGAGCTTGGATGCCAAAAGACACACCTAGTCGTTTATTGATGTATTTTCACTTGCAGAGATATAATCGGATGCTTCTATTCACTGCGGCTGATAATGAGGTGAAATGGAGCATTTCACGTTGATGATGGGGTGTAAGCCACACAGGGAAAAAGCTTACATGTGCTGTTCTATACATTTACTCCAGGATAGGTTATGACTGCTGTGAATGTGCATGCTGGAGAAACAATTCAAACGACTAATGTGGTACATTCGGATCGCCGTAAATGCCAAATTCTAGCATTCCTATTCGCCTAGTATTCTGATATAAAACATGTGATTCAATCCATCCGTCTCCGTAACTTTGAGCAGTTCGGTATCTCACCGGAATGAGTGCCTATAGACGTCACTCAAGATTAGACAGTCATTATCCAGATACAAATAAACATATCTCACATCTCCTGATGATAGATATCTGCTGTTGTGGCAGGAAGAAAGCAGACATTTGCACAAGAAAGTGTCTCCTCTCCACATACCCTCCTTCTTTACTACTTAATTACATATCCATCCGTCTCTTCTTCTCCGAACGACCTGCCGATATGTCTCCCGTCCTAGAGAGCTTCCTCTTCCGCACTGACTCGTCTATACATACGCTACCGTCACTATGAGCTTGTAAGTCAAGTAAGGCGTCGGCAGTCTGTGGAAATCCGGAGATCGAAGAGGACGTATCATTGTACTTAAGCCTGATATCGAAGGGAACACTCAACGACGGCAAAGTGAAGCTCACGACGGTCCGCTCGTCCGCAGCGATCTTATACTTGTTACCAGCTACCACGAGGGAAAGCCCCTTGAACCGAGTCGCGAGCACTCTCGTGACTGATGGGTCGTCCCCATACCTACAAGCGACGAACCCTCTGCATAGTACCTCACCGCGTCTGGTCGTTCGCGTTGTCGTGTCGAAGGAAAAATAGAATAGAGAGGCGATCATGACTAGCGAGACTTGTTGCACACGCTGATGTAGGTCCCGATTGACGAGAAATTCTCGGTCCAGCTGTCGAATCAGCTTGCTTATGGCATCTGCGTCATCCAGCGCCACCGCTTCCATATCGAGAGTGGGGTCGATGCGAAACTCATTGAACGCTTCACCCGCTGACCCACCTAGTCTCTGATACTGCCGGTGTCCCCACAGAGATTCCAGGCTAAAGTGAGCAAATCGAGACAGTGAGTTCGACATGCCGTTTGGGGCTGCCTTCATCACCCCGTTGCCTGCCGAGAGGATGTAATCAGGAACCGTCTTGCGAGGACACAGCCGTAGCGCTTCGGACCGCGCATGTAGCAGTGGAATCTCCAGCCCGTCATAGTATGACGAAGTGGACGACCCAAGACGTTTGGCCGGAAAGTACCTGGCGCATGTTAGCTTGTCTCTGATCGTGTCCTTTTAAGATTTCTCCCCGTTCTTCTATGAATTGACGTGTACGTACACAGGAGCGGCCGACGTGATTTCGGCCCTGTTTTTGATCCAAGTCAGCTCGGACGCTCTGCAGCACACATCGCGCGGATACCTACGCCTCTCGGACCAGCAGGGGCCTCGGCCTGCCAGACTCTGCTTGCCGATTCTCATGGCCCGCATACGTGGTGAACAGCTTCGACATGCTCGTTTTCGAGTCGATGGACGTGACAGCCACCTTCATCTGCTCGTACGGCTTCCGATTGTAGAGCGACTTTCGCGGTCCTCTAAGTCTCGCCTCGCCCGTGATAGAACCTAGGATCGGCCCGCTAGGGCTGTAGATGCTGTCTTTGCACACAAAACGGATGCATCGCGACAGTTTCTGGCACCACCGCCCTATCTTTGTCGAAGCTTTGGGGAATATCCTGCGCGCCAGCTGTATGAAGTTCTGTTCGCAGGTATCCAGCGATGATTCTAATACACCGATCGATAAGGCATTGATGCCTCCTGGGAACAAGTCAGTTCTAAAGCTGTTCTCTCTCGCTTGCATGGAGAAGCGACATACCGACGCTGGTCCCGATGGCCAGGTCAAAAAATATCTGAACAGGTAGTCCGGTCACCTTCTGAAGCATCTGCAGGATACGCAGCTGAACGATGCCCTTCACCCCGCCTCCATCGAGGGCTAGGACGCGGCATCCCGCCGTGGGCGGTCTGAGACGGACGGCACATCCAGAAACAAACGCCGTCGCGCACAGAACGCACCTATCGAACGTGATTACAGTCCCACTCATCGTGCTGTTGCCATATCCGCGGTAGCACGTCTCGCACAATGCGCATTCACAAGGGAGAAACACCTCGGGAGGCTGCACGAAGCATACGAGACACAGACGGGAGGACCTGCTCCCCGCAACGCTGGCGCTGTGCCGATGAAGAAAGTGTGTTCGAGATTTTCGGCGTTCTTCTGGGTCCGCGTGGCGTAGTTGGCTAACCGTTGTCTTGACCACTGAGGTTACGAGTGCCTTAGCGTCGGCCATCGGCATGAGTCGCTGGTATGAGAGCGCTTTCGTCAGTGCATCATGATACATTTCCCCGAAAACGGTCTGGCCACAGAATCCTGTTCAGGGTAATCAGCCACAGACATCTGAATAGGGCCGATGGCCACGTACCATCGTAATAGGCCACCATATCTTGTGAAAGGGCATTCGCCAGTATGGGCAATCTCATCTGTCGAAGATCGTCCAGGGACATAGCCTGCTGGATCCACTCGCGCCAGGCCTCCTCTAGCCAGGGTCTCATCTGCATCAGCGGTTGGGGCAACCGGCTTTGGTCGAATGCCGCCACGTAGCTGACGTCCAAGTTCATGCCCGGCGCCGCCTCGGGCGCACTGGCCAACTGCTGCAAACATCCACGGGAGACCCGGAACAGCGTATACCAATCCCAGAGTGTATTTTCCTCCCTTCTCTTACTCCTCACGTCTCGAATCCGGGAGAGTACATCAACAGGAATCTTTCCGGGTTTATACACGCCTTGGGACACTTTTACGTCGTCGAAACCGCAGTTTAATTCATCACCAACGAACATGCTGGCCATGCTCTCCAAGTCGATGTTTTCGCCCCTGACTACGACGCTTCCTACTGGACGGTGGATAGGTGGCAGGCCCCTACACTCCAGGTCCCACGCACGGAGCAGCCGACGCGCAGACGGTACGTCCTTGGCAACGAAGAGAACGGCGTCGCTCATAAGCATGGACCATCGACAAATCACCCCACCAGCGCGACTGCATCGCATAGGGTACTTTACATGGCCAGGAATACGGGCCGGATGGGCTTGGGAAAAGGCGTTGCATTGAAAGTTGACTTTATTGATGACGATATGCTTCCTGGCGCGAATCACCTCGACTCCTTGACCTTTCTCACGCATGGGCTCGTCGTCGACTACACTGACCACGGAGGGCCTTTGCGAACGTTGGATGGATGGAGGCAGACTGATGGCGGCAGATGGTGGATTTCCCTCGACGATTTGAATCCATGGGTGCGGCATGCTGTGTACTGATCGACCTTTGCCGTATTTATCTACATCAAAACTATCAGACTATCACCTCTTTTTTTTTTGACTAGCGGCGCGAGTGATGTGGTGACGGGGGAGGAGATTTGTAACACAGACCATGCCTTGTCCCTTGAGCTTTGTGGTGGTGTGACCAAGAAATGAGCACTGGTATTGTGCCTTCCGTGAGTAGTAGGTGCGTATGTCACTCATAACTAATTATCGCCTGTGGCAGCTCTCAAGCGTAGATTAGCTAAAATTGCATCCTTGTGATTGACAAATATTTTCAGTGGCCCAGGTGGCCAAAACCAAGTCGAAAGTGCGATGACAAACCTCCTGCATGCCTTCTGAACAGCATAGCGCATTTATACTTAACCCCAGCACAAGAAAGCCGTCACCCGTGATTTTGGATGTATCGAGTTGACCTTCTCACTTGAATACTCCAGAACTGCTATTCATAATTAGTTCCAGCGGGACTCAGAAAGGTTCGAGGAGACGACTCAATGACATTGAGTTACGCCATGTTGGCCTGAGCATCTCCGTTGCTGAAGACCAACGCTTTTGACCACATCAACGATTAACTTTATCGACGCAGAGCATCACGCAAGCTCGAGGATTCGGCCACGACAGGTGATATCCAGGCTCTTGATCGCATCGCGTAAGTGAGATACGACATGTGGCCGTTGTTTAGGCCTGAGATGTACCGACAGAACGACGATGTCTTGGTCCTATGTTGACAACGAAAGGCAGCTTAGCAATCAACCATCGCCCAAACGGCAGGAATTGCAGGATCTGATTGACTGTGAAATATGAAAGACACGTCGTTGTGCCCGCCGACCATGTGTGCTTGAGCTACTCCGAATCCCATGAATAGCTTCTTTCCCTTAGGTTCATTCCGAAGAGTGCCGAGTGCAAATTGAGACCAGCCTTTTCGTTGAGCGCTCGAGACCTTCTCCTATCCATGACGAATCTGGCGTATGATTGTGCATCATCTACCCACCGACATTTCGTTCTGAGCCCTCCAAGGGGCTCTCACACTTGGGCCTGCTGTGGTTGCGAAATTGGAACCCGTAGAGGACTCGTCGACCTCCTCGTTTAAGAATGAATTTCACAAGCACCATCGGACTCATCCCGAATAAGGAGGGGATACATTGGTTGCCGATGCTGATGTATGGATCTATGGCTGTCATTATCTGGCGGCGGCCTTTCGGCAACAAAATTGCAAGCGGAAACGCGCCTTCGTAGGTAAGATCAAAAGCATCAGGCTCCAAACATAGAAAGGTAGTTTTGGTAGCATCACACAAATGGGAAGAGCGATAACCCATATGGTTTTCGCAATACCGGTTCCGCTCACCTGCAATAGACACGAGAGTCATCTTCATGCACTACCCGTCGAAAAGTGATGAGTCAGGGTTATACAAGAAAGCGTTCTCAATATCAGTAGCAATGAGGATCAAGGTATATGGTGACAACGTCAGGTTTACAGATACGAAGCTATATCTAAAATATACAGCGAAGGGCTTTCACCACGTTTTGAGTCCTCGGACGGTGTAGAACGCCGATTAGACAGGGCAACGACAAAGGAAGGTGCAGATGGTCTGTCGGATACCCATGCATGGCGAAAACTCAATAGACTAGAGCGAGACGACGAGACGGTAGACTATGTAAGTAGTGTTCCTTGGCAATTTTGGCGCGCTTTCCATATCATTAATATGCACACAGGGGACTCACGGGTTGTATTTGTCAGACGGATCTGTAAATTGGCCCGAGAGTGTATGGCATATAAATAGGGGCACAGTTAGGCAGCGTTCCCATGCTTGACCTCGCCCGCACAACACACTCAGCTTCTACCAGTCTATCATATTATTTACATCAGTTCTTTTCAATGGCCGAAGTAGCCCGGAAAGTATCTTCTCAAGATTCACAAGAGTCCGTGTCGAGTGCTCGAAGACAAATGGACAAAGATTGGCCTCTACAGGAACTAGCAAAGGCTTGCGAAATCTCGAGTTCTTTCGGAAGTTCTACTGGCTTTCAGCAGTCAGACTCACAAGAATCATTCTCTGACCCTCCCCTGGGCCACCAGAGGCCTTTGTATCAGAGAGGCGACGAGGACGAGCCCAGTCAGCCTTCATATACAAAACTGAGAGAGAAACCTAGAGACGACCTACAAAATGAGGAAGACGCATCTATATGCGACGATAGCGACAAGGAAAACACACCACCGAAAGCGGGATACAAAAGTGCGACATTTCATGATAAGCTTCGGGGGACTTCGAAATGCGAGACTGGTGATAATAGCGTCGGCCGCTGTGTCACCATGAGCGTCACTTTGTCAACTCCTCGGATTACTTTCAATGTCGACTTGAAAGTATTGGTCGAACTCCGAAAGGACAACAGACAAGGTCGAGGCAGCAAGCGAGACAGTAGATCAGGCCGGGTCTCCAAAAGAAGAACCAGGGCCTCAAGAACCTACACTGGAGGGAGAGGTGACAAGAGCGATAGCAGTGGTCATTCTTGAGGATGGTAGAAGTTGCTACCGATGTGGTTGAACGACGTGGATATCGTGATGGTATGGCCGTTCAAGTTTCATTCGAATGAAGTTATCAAGTGTTCTTTCATGGTCGCGAAACTAGTGCGATATTGAGTGACTTCACAGGCACAATGTCTTAACCGAAAAATAGAATATCAAAGCCTGGCAAGATTTCCAGTGCGATGGCAAGCATCATCCTTTCAGATAGAAATACAATGTCGCCGCCTCATTCATGGTCGATCCAGGTTGAGCGTTCGAGTCATGTACTTCGGAGAGTTCTTGGCTTCCCTTGACTGACTTACGAGCTGAGGCATCGTCTGTCAAGCGTGGGCACGAGGCTATGCATCTTCTAGCGCCGATTCACAGTTCATTATTCCGGGTCCAACATAGTAGAAAGGAGAAGGGGTAAAGAAATAAATTCACAAGAAAGCCACCAAAAATCAGGAGCACTGTCTTTTGAGAGCACCGTCACCCTCACCGTAATTGTGTGCATAGAGATCCTCGAACACAACCCTTGGAATCTTGCTGATGTCAAGACGCTCTAGTATCTGTATGAAAGGCGCGAACTGTTGGTTGAAGCGTGGTAGCAGGTCCGTTGTGAGGGGTTCTTCACGCAAAAGACTCGGTGTCACGCATCGCTTGCACAAGAAGCCACCATGACGGTCTGCGTTGTCGATAACATCGATCAACGGCCAACTGCTAAGGCATTTGGGGCAAGTATAGTATCTCACGATCTCTGTTGATGATTCCCGCTTGTTTGTACCGAGAATCCGGCGTCTTAATTCGTGGATAATGTGATGAATGGCGTAAACGGCTTGGTGGTAGTCGAGATAGACGTATGACTCATCTTCGTTGAGCTCACGCCTGAGAAACTGTCAATGCGGGCAAGAATGACACAGGTTCACCAGCTCCAGGGCTAGCTAGATGCTATGATGAGGCGTGGTGGACTGTTATCTAAACGCACTCACGTACAAATGAGCCTTGCCCGCTCCAGCTCAGCGCAGGCCTTTCTCAGCGACACGTGTTCAGGCGTGATGGATAAAGAGCGTAGTTGAGTCATTGATAGGCTAGATGTAAGGCGTCGTGAGTCGTCTTATCGTGATCTTTGCGTCTTGGGGACATACATTTCGTGATGTGATAAGACCTCAATTACGATGGCTTGTTCGGAGCTGTAGAATACGCGCACGGCTTTCTTGACGAGTGTTTTGGCGTCATCCATGGTGAGAGTGTTCTTTGGCGTTGTTGGCTTTGCTGCTGTTTGAGGAAGTCATCCACGTTCGATATCGAGTTCTGCGTTGCGTTATGTGAGCGTCTCGCCATCCGTGTGTTGGTGGCTAGGCCTACAACGATAGTTTGCATGACTATAGGGGCATATCAGCTATACACCACTTCTTCAACAGAGCTATTAGAGCCTGGGGACACCGCATTTCTGTGGCAACTATGTTAGCTGTATGAAGATTCGTAACTTACAGGAGAAGCCAGCTAGAGATGGGCCGGCTGCCAAGTATTGAGCAACTACACACACTCCGGTAGGTGTTCGTCATCCTGCTCTCAACAGGTGGATCCGTGTCCAGGTACCGCCAGAATGATCGGCTATGATATATTCACCAAACGATATTTACTTATATTCTTCTTTATAACCGGGAAAGTGGGATCTGAGTGGGTGAGCTCGTGACCTCAAGATTCCGATTGCAGGATCGTAGCCAACGTTTAACATAGTGCAGCCATAGTCAGTGATTCCTGTAATACGAATGTAACATAACATCATTGCCACACGCGCCGTTATCGTCGAATACCATAATAAGAGCTTCCTGAAGTGGTTGCATCAAGGCCAGATATCCTACTTGTGCTTCTAGTCGCTGCTCCCGAAAACAGACTTCCCGAGATCCGACGTCATTTCAGCCTTTCCTTGTACAGTGAGAAGCACTGGCAACAAGCACTACATGACCGGATGGTACCGGCAACGTCCGACAGTATATCCTACTCTGTTTTTGGCGCGTTATTAGAAAAGCTAAATCATTTACTAACTAACATGATCAGCGGTTTGCAGGGGAATAGTGATGCCCTCCTCATTACGAGCTGAGTCAGAGGCCTGCCCCATTCGACAACGTAATGATCACATCCTACGCCGTTCATTCGAGGAATGGTCCAGCCCACGGACCTTTCATAGTAAGCCGCCGTTCTCCAGCGATGTCTCCATGACGGGCGTCTCGTTGATGCTATCCGTGGCAACGTCTGAATCGCGAGGCTGTTCCAATGTCGCATTTTGCCTGAAGCCTACGTTGCCGCGCATAGAAAGACGATGAATAAGGCGACTTCCGTTGCACTTCTTCATAGCGGTAAATGACTAAATTGGTAGTAGTAAGAAGGAGAGTGGCTTCTATTATACCACAATGGATCTTGGTCGGCTGCCTTTTGTGTCTAGGAGGGGCCGCGGTCCGAACACCTCACTTCGAGTGAACGTAGTCTTCCCTGCTCATGACAAGACATTGAGCCTGGAAGGCTGCTGCAAAATCGAAAATGAAAACTACTTTCCATCGAGCTCACCACGCTCGCCACGCTGTGAAGTCGCGCCTTGAGTATTCGAGGCTCAACGCCTGGTATCCGCTTTCACTAGTCTAGGGGTTGAAAGCGGCGTTGGGTTATCGCTAAGCTTCGAAGGAAGAACAAAGATGATATCGAGGAAATACCGATGTCCGATAAGCCTCCATCTAACTTTCTTTCGTATTGCTGACTAGATCCACGAACCAAAAATGCCTCAGGTGAAGCGTCCATAATGTCCTGCAGCTGCAGGTTAAGCTTAGACCAGTCGTGACCATATTTTCGTTGCCACTGAGACGAACCGTCGTATCAACCGCAAACGCACCCTCCGTGTGAGGCTAGGCATCTCGACAACGTAGCCACCACTGCAATGAGAACCCGGCCGCTCGCGACAGTTGTTGCAACCGTTGTCCAGGCGATGTGTAGTGACAAGATTCGTTTGATTACGTTGGCAAATACCATGAGGAAGTGTTAGCTCGCATACCTGGCGGATTGGCTCACACGAGAGACAGTGTGGGCACTTGAGGACGTGGACTGTGCACATGGCGGCTGGGATGGCCGTTTACCATGCAGGCTCTGCTGAATGGCTTGCTATGAAATGAACCCGGTCCATTCGATGAAGATATACCTTGTGCGTCTTGTGTGATTGTGTGCCAGACCCGTGGGACTGCCAGCGATGCCGTATGTTCGGAGCGAAGGACGAGCCGACTGTCAGTCCTGGCATTGTTTTCGCGCCGTGATACCGGTTATCCTGACCATAACTAACAACTCAGCTGAATATCTTGGCATGCTTCGGTGTCTCTTCTCAAAGCATCTCTTGATATATGGCAAAGGGATTGGAACGACACTCAATAACAAGAGACATGAAATGGATAAAACCAACCACGTCAGGGGGGTTCCGCAGAGAGCAGAAACATATTGAAACGAACATATATATGACTATCCTCACAAAGAGGTCCTGCATCCCGACTCTCGACATGCGAAAGGAGATCTCGTACAATGACGGCTCCAGCAACCCAAAGAAGAAAGCAGCCCAAGAGAAAACCTTACTCAGAGTTGATCCGCACAGCACCTTCGTAACGGAAACAAACCCATGAGTCTCAATCAACTTTACGACTGGTTCGAATCCCACATGGATGATGGCGTGCCCTGGGTCAAGAGCAGCATCCGCCACACTCTCTGTGTGCACCAGGTCAGTGCCTCCACTTGATATCACCCCGTTACACAGCGATGGAATGGTACTAGAAGGTTTGGTGCCAAGATGGTCGATCTTGCTTTTCCAACATGACCAGATGTCACGCAATCTACTAAATATATCTGCTAAATCATGCAGGCTTTCACCAAAAGCCAAAGTGGCCGGTCGAATTGGCGTCTGTCGTCGAACTTGCAACATAATGTTCAGTCTATGAGTCCGCTTCATAAGTCCGTCACACCATCTTTTCACACCGAATCCTCTTCGAAACCAGGCCGGCACGAGACCACCTTCGACGATCATTGGCTTGGAGTCCCTCTCGAAAATATAATCGAGCTAGATGGAACTTCAGCGTTTGTATCGCATTCCTCTATGGCCACTGTAGACGAGCAATCAGTGGTGGACAACACAGGTATAGACTTTCAACTGCCCCCCTCAGTGGTGAGTCGTCGCCCCATTTATATTGTATTATGATTATCGTGCCAACGACTAACACCACACCAGGTCTGCTTCTCGTGCCTGCTGAGTAACGATTCACAATGTGACGGCCAGAGCCCTTCTTGCAATCAATGCTTGCAGCTTGGCTTGACGTGCGAGGAAGGACGACCCAGTTTTAGCGGCAGACCAAATGTTCCTCAGGGTTCCTCCTAACGTTGCAAGCCTGGGAATACATCGTCGAATTACCGTTAGTATAGAACGAAAACTCTTAAATAGATAGATGTTACTACTAGGAAGCGTCGAAAGAGGATAATAGCCGATTATGCCCTGTCTTTGCTGCTTGTTTTTGGTCAGTGTTATGAACAATGTGATGGAGAGCAAAGGGTTACTTCGATGCAAGGGATCCACGAAAGGCGGGGCACGCGTGATCGCACCAACCAGTCGAGGACCTGTCCTGGCTATTGGTGGACGTTAGTAACATTGTGCGTTATTTTGTTTAATTAGTGGTAAAGAGAGTGGGCCTGACTTTGCGATTGTGCTGCGACGTCACAACAAGCTGCACCAGTGACAGGCCACTCCCGAAACCTTAGCACGAGACACCGCAATATAACCTACCAGCACTATTTGTCTGGGATTGCTTCTCTCTACGTTATTCTAACTGTGGCAGACCGACAGTGGAAAGATGGCGTTCCAAATTAGGTTATGGTGTTATTCTGTAGCGTGATAACGGCCAATGACAGACCCAAGAGAAGATGCCGATCATTCCCGCAGCCAGTTCCGGTCCGAACCCAGCCCTTGTTGTCGGCGAGACCTGGAAGCGGCTGGAGGGGTTGCGAAAGCCGTGCTGAAGTTCAGTCTTTTAACGTCCTGTGATGAGCTCTAGTAGACAGACATATTCTGTAAAGCCTGGATTTTTCAATTCGTCGTCTTTATCTCCGGTCTAATTTTCCCATTCACTCGTTGCGAATCAATTGCACACCACCGTGTTTGCCGCCAAAAAACTCCGCAGCCTCTTGTGCTTACCCAGGTTTACCTCGAGACCGAAGTGCGGCCTCCACCTGGCTGAAGCGGATCTGCGAGTACGTCTGAGCGGTGCCTTTGGCACCAGCGTCGAGGAGCAAGTTCACAGCTGCGAGGCTATCATTGCGCACAGCAAAGTAAATGGGCGGCTCGCCCCACTCCCCAGGTATGTTCGGATCAGCCCCATTCTCCAAGAGCAGTCTTGCGCATGCAAGGTTGTTAAACAGAATTGCGACGCCTAGAGGCGTATGCCAGAATATCTGGTGTTGGCCTTCCTCGTTGATCCACCCGCTGTTCTGTGCGTTGATCAGAGACACGCACGCGCCTCTGACGCCTTCTCCGTGGCCATCGTCACCACGCCCAAGAAAGAGTCTGAGGAACGGGTACCCTTCAGTCTCGTTGTCTAGGTCGGGCGGACCAAGATCGCCACACACGGTGTGTAGAATTGTGTCTCCAATCCTATCGCGCAAGCTGAGATCCACTCCCCTAGTGAGTAGTTCGCAGACTACGTCCAACTTCCGTACGTGTCCAGGCTGTTGGTAGGCAGTATCGTCCTGGTGAAAGTCACGAGCTGGCGTTCTGAGCACTGCATGGAAGATATAGTCACCGTACGCATTGGCAACTCTGCCTGCGAAGTTGTGGGCGGGGTTGTAAGCCTGCGTGCCGATCATCTGCGTGCCGTGGAGACAAGCGTCGTAGAGGACCTCGGAATTGGCGGCAGACAGTGAAACACCAGCACGACAGAGAACCTCGACTTGCTCCAGGCGGTGGCTTCTGACGGCTTCAATCAGATCGTCCTCGGCTGACGGGTGAATCGTCGCTTGACCGGAGGACCACGAGTCGGTCGGAGAGCCGACCAAAGTACCATCTGATGTTGAGCTTGCCGGCGTCAATGGGTTTTCCCGGTGCTCTTCTTCCGCCCAAGGGCTACTTGGACTGGCGTCTGCCGTGTCCGTGTGGACGCCGAAGTCATCGGGGCGGAGAGCTTCGGACAGTGAAGGGCCAGCTGAAGACGACCTAAGCCACGCACGGACGTCCGGTAAGCTCGTCGCCGGGTCTGCCGACCCCACATCGGGACCATGCCCAGGTTCGTCCACCAGTGTTGAGGCGACACTGTATCTGGGAGACCATGAAGGCGGCGGAGACTCATTGCCAACGAGCGTTTCGCCCGAATAGGAGCTCGTAGGCGTCAAAGGCTGTGTCCGAGCGTTCATGCTAGAATAGAAGTCTAGTTGTGTTCAGGTAGGTCAAGTAAAAGCCATGTCCCTATCGCAGGCGACTGAACTGTGTAGATTATATCGAGCGTTACAGAAGACGCAAAAGCAAGCTCTTTGCTTTGAGGTGTCGACAGTCTTATATTGACACCATACGAGGTAGTCTGCATAGAGACCAATTTCCACTCGTGATGCGCCGCATGTCACTCCTTCGATGTTCTAAGGAATGCCGTAAGACGCTTGTTGCCTTCTTGTAAGACATCATGTAATACTCGATGTGGTCGGCGTCTGGCGCGTAGCGTCTCGTGTCTTTATGACCGTGAACAAAAAAGATACGACAGATACGCAAGCCTCCCAGGCAGGCCGACGACAAGGCGGCTAGTCATATACTCGATTGCGTACATAGTCTGACCTAAGCTTCCTTGAGAATCCAAAGCGCAGTCTATGCCGCTGCTTCAATGAGCGCTGGATTCCTTTTCAGTTTGCTGTGGCTGAGTAGCTTACCTAATCTACAAACGAAACGCTCGGACGTGGTCGAGTGGTTAAGGTGGGGCGTGGGTCAAAGTGGCCAGCGAAGTCCATTGAATCCTGTCTCGTCATCAGACAACGAACAAAAGTAAAGGCTAACATAACCAACAAACATGGAACATCACTTAAGACGTTATGTTCACTGTTCCATTGCGATAGGTTAAACTGCGGAGAAGACGCGTCGGAAGGCATGATGTGAACAGCAGAAACGACAGTGAGATGCATTGAGGCGGGACGCACCTACTTTTGCTGGTCATGTCTTGTAGAAGTGACAATCAATGCCTATGATCAACTGAGAATCGGTGCGAAATGAACTCTGTCCCTGTCAACTTACGATGCTCGATCTGCTCCGAGTTGGCGATGTTCTCACTCGAGTTGCCCTGCTGCGAAAGCTTGATTTGCGGCTACTGTAGGTGACGCGGCAGCAGCTCTGTAAAACAAATGAGATCTCATGTGCGACAGGTACATACTCCCAAGACTCACGGTGTCTCGTGTGCGAACAGACAGTCCAGAACAGACCAACAGTGGCCAGAGAGGCCCGGCTATCGATCAAAGAGTATCTCAGGCAGCTTCTCCAGACTTATAAGCGTCTAAGACCGTAGTTGACGGCTGTTAACATTTATTCGCATTCGGTACAACGCCCGTGTCTGGAATGGCCAGCAACGTTGTGACTGCGAGAGAGTTGAAAGCCGGCTTCTTTTCTTTCTAGGTCAGTGAGTTGGGGCACGAGCGCGCAATCCGCTGCAATAGCTTTCCAGGTTTTGTCGTTTGATATTACCCAGCATCATTGTGCTTTCGTCATAGCAGCATAGACGGAGTCATTACTACAGACGTCCGGGAATCTTATTACGTAGCGTGGAGTGCCGCAGGCCATGAGAACGAAATACACAATCTATAACTTCTTCAAAACTTCCTTCTCATCCGACCATGAGGTCGCTGCGCTTCTTGCTTATCCTCGGTCTATATGTGTGCTGCGAGTCCGCACTGGCCATTGTTCCTTCATCATTTGTCGCAAACGCAGCGTGAGCCAACTAGCGTAATTAATAAATTCAATGCACCCAGGAGAGACGACCCCATATGACTACGAAACCACAGCGACGAGGTCTAGGGTGAAATGTGGCATCCTGGTATCGAATGCAGCTTTCGGGCAGGATCTGTTAACACAACGAAACAGATAAGACTACCCGACCGCTCGTTCGCGTTACTCAAGAGCATTACGACAAGCACGACACCAAGGCCCGACGATTTGTCATTGTTCAGGAGCGGCAGACTGTTCTGGTCTTGATACAGTTATACGGGGCTGCTTTTCAGTATATATGCGGTCTCCTCCAATTCGACAGGCATCTTTGGCCTGAAATTAGACCAATGCAATGAAGTTAGGCTGGGTTCGTTTTTCCGACATCAGGCCGCGATCGTTACCAACGACAACAGCAATACCCGCATCGGAAGAATCTCTGGTTGAAGCGCATCCACTGGCGTCATCACGAGCAAGCATCATCAGTGGCCAAGCTCTTGCATATACTCTATCTGCCGTAGCTATACTAGTCGCAATCGCAGCTTTTGTTTATCTTGTTTGGCAGAAACGCCAACATCATGTACGCTTGAGGCTGTCAAGCGGCAATGTCCAAAGTTCATCTCCAATTCTCACCAAGATAGGCATTACGCCTAGACGTCTCCCACAGCCTCCGCCTCGGATTCACAAAGTGAGCACATTCATCCCTCGCATTAGCAGCGGGCCTCGACATCCACGCTCAAACCATGCTTCTCTCGTGAGCTCGCGGTCGATGTTGTAGAAGCAAAGCAGAGACGAGAGGCAAAGTAATACTGAATAAGACGTACACAGCTCGAATGGCGGACGACGGATAGTACAGACTTAGCAAAAGTGGGGCCATAATTCTGTTGCACTGTAAGGCGACTCCATTCCTTTGGGTAGGTTCTCTGGCGTTTCGTTGCTCTCATCCTTTGTGAGAGACGTAGACAAATCCGATCAGCATATCGTGGTTCCTGGTATGCTCTATATTTATGTGATTCTAGGATTACTATCGCGCTTGGTTCAAGTTCGGGGTTACCGCCAAAGGCAAGCGGAAAGCAGAAAGAAAGCTTGCGTCATTCCCATTGAGACAAAGTCGAAAATCCACTGACGTTTTTGTTCTATTTCATCTGGTTTTTCCTAGTAGTTAGAATGAACATCATAAAAACAATCCAAGCCTTTATAGCTGCCACGTCGCTTTAGCCGACTATGGCGTTTGTGGCTATGTATAGCAATAGATTCGCCAGTGCTCTATCACGGTCCAGTCAGCTGGGTTGAGGTTCAAGTCTAGGGCAGAAAGACAAACAACCCATCCCCGCATCCGTGCCGACTCTCAGTTCGCACACACGTGGAGTGAAGTTGCCATCTATGTTGCTACAGGTGACAGGTTAGAAGCTATCTAACTGCCCTGCAGGAGGTCAAACGTTGAATAAATTAGTTCGCATATGCGTGCTATTCATAGCAAGCAAATTTATTTTGATTCACGATCGTCAAATCTTGGTATGCCCGATGAGCACCGGAGATCACTTGGTACACTTGCGGTTTCCCCTTCCCACAGTTTTACTCAGTATTCCTTGCTATGTACCATGGCCTACATCGGCGAGCCTGCAGTAGAAAACCCCTGGGGGATCCAATGAACAGTGAAAATATATCGTCACATTGCGAAAGCCACACGTGAATGTGGCGTCTTGGTCGTCGTAAGCGTAGCTATATGCGTCCGGACACGTCTCCTTAAACCACGGATTGTTACCCTTGCAGGTCGTCGCATCGTATATACCCCTGCAACAATACTCGTCTGTCTCGTGTACAGCACAGTTGGAATAGCAGCCGATGGGCGCGTCACCTGTCCTCGGATCAGTGATCAGGTTGGGTGGGGGACATACCAGTGACTGATCCTCGGGATCGATGCCGAGGTAGGGCGGGGCTATGCAGGCGATCGCTTCGCAGTCTTGGTCGTCCGGCACAACGTGAACGCCGCATGTAAAGCTGTCGACTATGCGACGAAGGTCAGATCGGTATTCTGAAATGTGTCAGGTGTAGATGCAGGCTCACCTAGGCTGATGTCGTAATACATCTTGTCTTTCTGTGCGGTGATTTCAAACAGCGTAGTGTCGGCAGATGAACGACCCCAACAACTCGGGTGACCGCAGTCACCTAAAACACAGTTCGATCCGCCGGCTGCGCAATACTGCCTCGCCCAGACGCGTCCGGACCATGGGAACGAGCTGAGAGAGACTTGGACCTGCGAGTTAGATTCCAACGCAAGGCCTTCAGGTAACGGGTCTTGAGAATAATCGATAACTCGTCCATCGACAGATGACTCTATGAACGAGCCTGAGCCTTCAACTGCAGGCTAAATTGTCTGGTTCGTGGAGTTGTTGACAATGGTTAGAACCAATTGCTGCGCATAGAGCGCTACAGGAAAGAGTAGAAAGGTGAGCATCATCAGTAGTTGTTACATTCCAGGAAAGACGGCGCTTTTGTGAAAGTCTGCTTATATTCACCCGAACTGCAGACTAACATGTTTATTGTCAGATGCAAATGATTCGTCAACGAAAATCAGAATGAGATGATGTAAACGATATTTGCTACTGTTCTTGACAAATCACCAGCAGGCGGGATGCTAAAGTTTTATGGAGTAGTTGACTCGGGGACGTTGAGACTGGAAGGACTTGGGAGATTTCGCAGCACATATATATATGTATATACGAGAACGGTCACATACTGCTATCTTCGTTTCTGTGTCTGCATGCAGAGAGCCCTCCATGAGAATCACAACGTCAACTCCTATGGGGGAGCCACTTGGCTCGGGATCATTTGGTACCGTATACAAGCTCAAAGGTCTTCCCATCGCCCGCAAATACATACCACTCGCTGAACCTCGTAACGGCTTACCACCTGAGGCTATACGAGAAATCGCTTGTCTGCAGCGATTGAAGAAATATGACTCGCGCGCTAGAATCAATTGCATTGACATTCTCGGCGTTCAGATATCGAGAACGGCCATAATGATTGACATGGAGCTCATGACTGGCGGAACTCTTGGCGACCTTTTGGACAACTCACAGCTACAGCTTGCGCTTCTCTTACCCTACTCCATACAGATGGTGAAGGGCCTCCGTTTTCTTCACGGCGCCAGTATCATCCATCGAGATGTCACACCACGCAACATTTTGATTTCCCCAACGAACTGTCTGAAGATTGCCGACTTTGGTCTTTCTCATCTTATGAGCGGTATCGAACCGCGAACACCACTAGTGGGGCCTCTATATCATGTCTGACGTGATTGCAGTTCTCTTACACCGTGTTCTAGGTCTGTTCATTGTACTATAGAGCACCCGAACTTCTCCGAGTCAATGCGTTCATCGGAGATACTCGTAGCTTGGTATATACCTGCGCTGTCGATAACTGGTCTGTTGGCTGCATCCTTCGAGAGATGATCATCGGACAGGGTCCGGAGTTCAAACCGGCGAGGCCGACTTTTTCGCCCACTACTAGCGCCATTGAACAGCTAGATGCGATTATCAGGTACGGACAATGGAATACTGCCATACGTGCCGGTACTAAGTGGTCATAGAAAGTTTTGTCCGTCTTCTGGTTTCGTTAACGAGGAACTGGCCATGATCTTCTGCGACTCAAATTTGAAGCTGCCTGAGACCGCAGTCTCACCTGAAGCACCTGCGTGGGTGATTCAGATGCTGGAAGTCACACGGGTAAGGCAGATGGTACTGCCAGCACGCTCATCACTGACTGTCTGCTAGCTTCTATTGGTCCCGGATTCAGAGCTCCGTTGCACGGCAGAAGCAGCATGCAGGATCCTCGAACAGCTAGAAACAACTTGATGCAACGGACTTCCAAGGATGTGTCGAGAAGAGACTTGTGAGAGGAGCAAGGTAACCGCGGGCAACACCGGGGATGCTTGTCTATCCTAATCCTTTACACATGCTAATAGGGGAATTACTCCGCGGCGGATGATAGTTTTTTCTAGAGAAACCCCCCTCCGATGCAACTCGTTTATTAAAAAGACTAGGATTCTGTAGAAAAGTCTCTTGGAAGTTTGTACATTGCTCATAGACATTTTTTGCAAAAGGCCTATTGCTTTGATCTTGACTTTATTGTCGTTACTACTACCTTCTAGGAATATCAAGTCGACTACTACCCAAATAAATATCCGAGTCATAAAAAGCACCAAGCACTTTAACAGTATATAGCCGCTGACTTACTAGAAGCACATCCCCCTACGGTCGTAAGCGATCTCTAATATATGCTCACGTGTCACGAGTGGGCCATCCTGTCTGAATCCATTGAGGAAGGATCACTCCTAGACGCAAAGTCTAATTTTGTCACTCCCACTTATATATAGTGCCACTTTTTCGAGAGGCAAGTAATGTGGCCTTGAAATTAGGCCGGGCTGAGGTTGGGGTTGGTGCCCCAATGATTGAGGCAAGGCTCGTCCCTTCTGCTGACCCTGGTGGCACCTTCCATGAACCGCCAATTATCCGTGTCCAAGCCCTCGCTATCCTTGCCTTGTGCCCAACACACTTCTCTCTGCTGGTCTGCTCAAGCCAATCCAGTGCGAATGTCAAATCACATCCATCTATTTCAGGCAACATTAGCAGGGGCACAAAATGCTCAAATATGCCATTCTAGAAGGCCTGTCGCGACTTCGTCTCTGCCTTGCATGGACTCCTTATCCCAACTGACGGCGTCCACGTTCCTATTGGGAGCTTCGAATATGGTTCCATTTTGCATTATAGCATAGCATGGGATTTCTACGGCCACCAGCTGAGCGTGACTCTGCCCTCCATCTGCAGCCTGTGGGTTCAGGCAGTGCAAGGCAGCACGGCGAGGCAGACCACCAGGGTAGCATAGTAGGATACGCTGAAGATCTTCTGGTACCTCTTGCATGGTTAAGCAGGCTGCTAACCATTTCTTCGTTGACACTGCCACGTCCCTGAAATTGCTTGCTTAATTTTGGAGTCTATATGAAGCTGTTAGCCACCCTCCTTCTTCCTACTTTCTCAAAGTCCTCCATTCGGTAACTTACTGCTACTAGTCATCTTTCTTTATCCACTGTCTTGCCATCCCCCGTCACCAGATACGAGCCTACGCCGTGACCATATTACAGGCCATCATGCCATTTCAAGTTTCTGATACGGACGTCGCCGAGACCGCACATACACGTGCCACTCTCGGTAAATTCGACAATCCTGACGAGGATTGGACCAAGATTTCCGATCTTGCAGAGCGTCGCAGGATCCAAAACCGTATTGCCCAACGCAACTACCGTAAGCCAAACCCAGTCATTGCGACGCTCAGCCACTTCCTATATGTACTGAACCTCCCATGTAGGCAAAAAGCTGAAGCGTAAAGCAGAAAATACCGCAACATGCATCAGTCCCAATCGTTTAAAGTCAAACCCGAAGTCCCCAACCAAGATGCAGAAGAGGCGTCCCTCCGTAGGGTTCATTAAGCAGCCCAATTGCTCTTCTCAACTGCACGCCGACAACGAGTATCGATTACAGCAATTCCCCCTTGACTTCTGCGAAAGTTCAAGTGCCGGCGCCACTCCAATTTGGATCAATCCAGTTGATTCTTCATTCGATCATCCAATCAATCCCTCTTCTGGTCACGGACAGTTGCTCGACTCCACAGCCTCCGCGCCATACCCGCATGACCTCATAGCAGCAGTTCCGGCCACGCTGCACTCAACAAACCACTTTGACGACAGAGCAGAGCAGACGTTTGACGCTTGTTGTGGCCTCTGCTCACGCTTTACAGACACCAGCTGTAGTCCTCCTTTCAGTATAAGTACACAGGATTCTTAGTACTCTTCATCGCCCGAACCGGCTTATTAGTTGGGTATACCACCCCATAAAGCACCAAGATATTGAATTAATAGGCACAATGATCCCGTCGGTTCTCTCAATCATCCCGGCGCTTTCTCTGATAACTCTGAACGAGGAAGATGAAAGAAACCGTGGTCGGCTTCATCGCTCTTTGCTAACCATTTTGACAGGACTGTGGGTGAAGAGGACGAACCGGCTCGAGCAGGATTCATCTGAGACCGGAGTCTTTGGCGCAAGACTCTGATCTTGAGTTCTCTTTAGTTCTCTTTGATAGATCTGGCTGATATTTCTGGCGCATTAAGCGTATGTAAGATCAGTAAAATGTTCTGAATAAATCAACATAGTTTGCCAGCTTAGGGCACCTTACGAGAAGATCCAGAGTAGATCACACTTCTTAAATCAAATTCCTTCTCGCGCTCTGGGATTTCAGGCTTACTCTAAGACTACCAATGTCGGTATGCTGGATTTGAAAGGCCTTACTCGATATCAGAGAGCATCAGAGTAGCGTTAAGCTGCTAGGGTTTCAAAGTCCATAACACAGCGACATTTATCGTACATAAACACACTTACTGCAGATACAAGCATTAATTGGGAACTTAAATATTTGGCGAGATTCGAGAACCACTTGAATTTCAACATTCCCGTAAAGAAAGCTGTTGTCTATGGGGCTAACTGTACTGTTCTGAAACGAACTTGCCCAAACGTGACATAAGGAACAGGTATGGGTGAGAACCGGCCTTAGCTGGAGGATATAAATATGCCGTTGAAATAATAACCACTGGAACCAGACATACGACAGCATAGGAGTGACTGAGCATATGCCCAGTCATGTGGATGTTCCGACACGTGACCATCTTTGGTCGCATACGAGGACATATCCTGAAACGCCATGGAGATCGTACGACCTTAGGAAGAGCATTACAGAATAGAATCACCTCTTTAATCATCAATTTGTCACCGGGATCTGTGGTTGCAGTCTCCACAGTCCGTCCAACACATGCCGTAATCACAGAAGTCGGACGGGATCATTAAGGATAGTGTGACTAGGTCTATCTAAATACGGTATATTTCGCGCTAGTCCTCTGCGTCTTTCAGAGAATTATCTTGAAATCAGTTATCAGAGAAGAATGATTCGATTGCTGGCTCCCGTCATCGATGCATTAATCGAAACTATCTGCGCTAGCCCTACGTTTCGTAAGAGAATTTAGATATCTTACGTATCACGTGTTGAATACATTCGCTCACGTCATAAGAATCATCGACGACTAGTATATATATGACGGCAGATACACTAGCTTTGTGTAAGCTCATGGAAGAATCAGTCGAATGCCAGTTCCCAAAATGCCAAGAACCAAAAGTCTTGAGGGCTCTTCGAAAGACCCTACAGTATCGCTACCAGGAGACCGCCAAGAGATACTGTGCCGTACATCTGGCGGCTATTCTTCTCAAGCCTGGCCAAAGTCGATCCGTTGATGATAGTCTGTCCTTGAGATTTTTAAGATGCAGCATTACCAAGCTCAACAATGAACGGTGCAAGAACATGCTCAAACACCAAGACGCGATATTGACCCAACAACTCTTCGAGTTTACCGAAGGGGTTTGGAGAGTCTGGCTCCTTTCCTGTGACGTACATAGGAGGCAGCTCTCGTGCTTGACGAATATCCTCTCCGGCCTCACGCGTCAACAACAGGAACAGCTGTATCAGCCATTATATCCCCTGCAATTTAAAGAGATCTTGAGATACTATGATGGTGTTACGAAGAAATTCCCATCCATAAATGAGAGAGCTCGTCGCTCGACTGCAATGATTTTGCAAAACTGCACCAATCTCAGTAGGCCGTACGACTTCTCTGGGAACGTTACAATCTTGGATAGGATTCGCTGGGAAATCGACCTGCCACTGAGAGATGTTATCGTTAGTGGCAACTCTTCCTCTAGTGAGGGCACTGGAGATGACAGGGAAACCTTCTTAGTCGACCAGACCATATCGCGGGGTTCTTTGACCGCCATTTTGGATGTCGAGCACTGGTATGACGAACTGCTTGTTGATGATGAGCTGATTGAAATCAATGTGCGAGGAAAAAGTCTTTTCGGTATTCTTGGAGCCATTCAGGAGTTTTACAAGACGGAAAATCGTATGGAAGGCATGAGGCATACAGTGTTCGAAGGGCTTCAACTTCAGGAGGATGGCCGGTGGCATCTGTCCCTAAAATGAAACCTGGAATCCGGGGATTGCTCTTTTGCATTTAGGAATAGACTGACAGAGATTGATATATGGTAATATGACATTAGAGATGAAGGAGCAGGTGCTCATGGCGAACGCAGCCTGGGTTGTGCCATTACCCACCCGTGATTACTTTAGTGCGAGTTCCCTTAAAGGTTCATTTGCTGTAGCAATCGATTGGCAGAATTCGAAAATAGGGCAGCAAATTTCGCGCACCTCGATGATGCGTAATGGAACTGTGGTGATTGCCTCATTGAGATACGGTCAATGTTTCGGGCGAATGTGAGGGGGAGTAGAATGGTCACCGTTCGTACGACGTCTCTTTGCGTATGTCACGAAATAGGATCGGTATCAGCACTCAACGGCCACTCTCTCCTGCGCTGAATCACGTAGATAATATATCTCTCTCAGTAAACAGACTACTCTCACTTCTTTGTTCTAGATGGATTGGTTGAAGTCACTCCTAACGCACTTCGCATGCCTATTGCTGCGTGTTATAACTCGTGACGGCA